TATGCATGACTCCTGCACCTCCACACTCCATCTCCCCTCACTGCCAAGGCACATTGCAGCCACCATAGCCATTCCACATCATTTCAATTAGCCATCCTTATATCACAACCTTCCAAATCATTCTGAAACATGCCCCTTCCTGCCAGAAACTTCCCAAACCTACCAAAACCTACCAAAAACTTCAAAAAAATCGCCAAAATGCCAAAAAAATCAAACCGGGAAAGCGTTATTTATTATTCCCTTTCCTTATAATGGGGGGGAAACGCTGCCCATTTTTTCCAGTGTTTTTTTGGTGCTTTCTAGCTGCGTTATGTTTTGTTTGGTTTCTTCATTGTTTACATGTGTTAATGTCTCATGAATGATGTTTTGGCTTCATATGTTTTGTTGTCCTGTTTTGTCTGTCCTGTTTTGTCTTACTTCATGTTACCCCTCTTCATGGTTTGTTGTGGTGCGGTGTTGTGTCTTGGCTAGTGTTGTTTTCATGTTTTGTTTGGTTTTCTGTCTGCTTCTTCTTCTTCTTCTTCTTCTTCTTTGTTTACATGTGTTCCTACTGTCTCATGATGTCTTGGCTTCATATGTTTTGTTGTCCTGTTTTATCTTACTTCATGTTACCCCTCTTCGTGATTTGTTGTGGTGTTGTGTTGTGTTGGTTTGGTTTGTTTTCATCTGTTGTTTGGTTTTATGTCTGCTTCTTCTTCTTGGTTTACATGTGTTCCTACTGTCTATGATGTCTTGGCTTCATATGTTTTGTTGTCCTGTTTTATCTTACTTCATGTTACCCCTCTTCATGCTTTGTTGTGGTGTTGTGTTGCGTTGGTTTGTTTTGTTTTCATGTGTTGTGTTGTCTTGTTTTGTCTTATGTATGTTTTTCTTATTTGTGTTACCTTTGCGTTGTGTCTTGTCTTGTCTTGTTGTTTTGTTGGCTCCTCCTGGTTCATGGTGTTTCATGTTCTGTTTGCCTTCATTTGCTTTGTTGTATTGTATTGTATCGTCTTGCTTTTGCCTTACTTCATGTTGCCCCTATTCATGTATTGTTATGTTGTTCTTCTTCTGGTTTAAGTCTTATGCTTTCATGTTACCACTACGATTCATGTTGTCCACTGTGTGTGTTATTGTATGGTGTTGTTTTGTTATCACTACTTATTCACTTAGTCCTTTTGTTGTGTGTTTGCGCACTGCAGTTGGGGCACTACCTCTTCATTGCCATCTTTGCCCATCTCATCCTGCCAATCGCTCACCTGAATCCACACAAGACCACCCACCCACACTCCAAGCTCACCCACACTCCAAGCTCACTCATGCCTAGTGACTATATTCAGGGATGCTATCATAGTACCACTGGCTGTACTCATAGGTCTGCAGGTACCATTGGGTCTGCTGTGTGGTGTATTCCCACATGTTCTCAATCCTAGCAAGCCCTTCAAGCTGGTGCAACCTGTTCAGTGCCCTTTCCAAATGGTCTCTGCTTGTGTCATCTGGCACAGACCTGTTCAACTGAACAGTGGCAGGTATCCATTGCACCCATCCACTGTGAAATGTCCATGTCCAAAAAAGCCAAGATCCATAAGCTTGCCATTGCCCTGACATCACAGGATCTATTGATGAAGCTCTTGGAAACATTGCAGTCCTCAGCGCCAGGTTGTTGGCCTCCCTAGCTATACTGGGTGGGTGGTGGTCCTATCACAGCCCCTGCCCATAGTGATGTCACCTAAACCCCAAAACTATAGACCACCACACCTTTTTATGAACCAACTCTGGTACAAAGTGGTGGGTGTATGGTGGTCCCTGACCAGTGGTCCTCCAGTGTTGGTGACCCATTCCTATCGTCCAAGAATTGGCCTCAGCCCAGAGTTTTGTGGTGGGCCCTGCTAACAGCTTTGTGGTTGCCCAGGCCCATACCACACCCTTTCAATCTGGGTGTCTTATCACCAAAGGCAGGAGAGAGCCAGCCAATCACCTTAGCAAAGCCAATGGCAAAGAGTTCACTTTGTTTCAAAGGCATGGGAAGGTCAAGTCAAGTGGTATGCAGGATGTTCTTGGTCCAACAACACGACCTACACAAACACACACCATCTACCCAGTTTCTTCTTAGTTTCATCACTTCCTAAAAACACCACTGCCATCTCACCATCTACCATCTTCACCACCATGGGGGCTAGCAATTGCAGTAGCCACAGTGATCCTCAGGAGGCCATGCACCTCAGTTAGGCCAGCACCACTGGTATGGCAGAATGGCAGCCACCACAACTGGCAAAGGACAAGGCACAAGTTGACAAAGCTCCACTTCACTATTTCACCCCTCTAGGCTTGAGAACAAACCCTTTACCACAAAGCAGTGGTGACACAGACACAGCAAAACCAAACAAAAGCTAGCGCCAACAACCCTGCATGCAAACATGCAAACAACTCTGCGCCCTGCATGCTCACATATGCTTTTCACTTGCACTGCCCTGCTTCAAGGGTTGCTCCAAAAAAGTATAGCCACATAGCCACCAGCACCTCACCAATTGTGTATGTGTTACACAGCACAGTCAGCATACTCACCAACTGTGTGTTGCATTGCACTGCCCAGGCACACCCAATCTCCATTCATTTGGCCTTTTTCGAAGAGCTATCCCTCTGGCCTTGCGCAAACAATAAGCATTGGTCTTGCTCTGTAACCCAACAACCACCACCTTCCACTGCACAGCAAGAAAACTACCATGTGTGTTGGTGCTTGGACCTTTAAGTAGCCCTATACAGCCATTGCAGCCAAAGGGCCAAACATTGCTTGCACAGCAGCCTTTGTCTTTCCCTTGCCCTTTGCCTTCTTTTCCTTCTCTTCCTCCTCTATTTTCTTCCTGGCATACTCCTGCAGCTTCCTCACTTGCTCTGCAGCTTCTTCTTGCGCTTGCCTTGCTTTCTCTTCTTCTTCTGCCTTCTTCACAGCCTCAAGCCTTGCTTTCTCTTCTTCTGCCACCAAAACTCAGAGTCCCTAGGTTCTTGCAGCGCATCTCCCTGAGCTTGTGCCAGGGAGGTAGGCCACATGCTAGCCAAAAGGCCATCCCTATCTGCAAGTCTGTCAGCTGCTCCTTTACACCATCCACAAATTTGGTGCTGTCCAACATCTTCAGGAATCTAAGCTGGTCCCTCCTGCAAGGTGAATCTTTCAAGAACCCACCAGCAATGTTTCAATCCTTACAAGGTAACTCTTTGAAGAACCCTGCAATGTTTCAACCCAAAAAGGGGCACTCCTGCAAAGCATGTTTGCTTTTCCACCCTTGCTCTCATTCTTGGCCAAATGGACTTTGGGGGCCTTCTTCTTATCCAATTCTGTGCCTAGGATGCTCCACACTCTTTTCCATCTCTCTCAGTCTCTCTATCTCACTCTATATCTGTCTCTCTCTCTCTCTCTCTCTCTTTGTGTCTCTCTGTTGGGTTCAGCAAAGGCCAAGCAACTGGATTTGGCATCAGTGCTTTCTGAAGATTTCTTGCCTGCACTGGAGCTTGGCCAAGCAACCCATGAAGTAAAACAAAACCACAGCTACATCAAACACACTTGGTTTGTTCCAATGCTCATGGGTTGGCACCTTTTTTCTTTTTCTTTCCTTTCTTCTTCTTTGACTTCTTCTTTTTCTTCTTCTGGTCACTGCTGCTCCTTACACTGAGCAAATGCATGGGATTCTACCAAGTTCTTGAGGGACTACATAAGGGCATACAAGCTTCGATGAACCATCAGAGTCATCATCACTGCCACCTGCAGCAATGCAAACAAAAGGCAAGGGCAACAACGCCCATTTGTCCACCCATTCACTGAATCTTGAATAAGAGGTCCAGGGTTCTATATATCTTTTTGCTGCCAAAGGGCTGTCATCTGTTTTCCCTTCTAGCTCAGAAAGTGCTTCTGATGGAGCAGTTGTTGAGGATGCTCCCTGGCCAAAGTTCTCTGCCCCTAGATAGGGTGGCTGCATCTGATGGCAATGGGGCTGAGGAGGGGCATACCCACCAGGAGGATATCTTTGAAAAGGTTGATAGCCTGGTGGAGGGTAGAACTGCTGTGCAAAAGGTTGCCTTTGCAAATGCTGCATATGCCTTGGGTCAAGCAAACACCAAAGCCTGAAACCACATACTTTTGCATCTCTCTTGCATTTTCATCCTTGTGGAATGCATGCCCAGGTGCTCTGGAAGTGTGGTCCTCCTTTTCTTGTGAGATGGCATGGCTGGATTTCTCTCACAACCTAAAGTGGCCCTGGTCAAACAAAGGGGGTTGCACCATGTTTGCACCCATGAACTTAAACCTCCACAGTGACCAACTGGCCCCTTGAGCAAGCCTGACTTGCCATTGATGTCATGTTATTGTTCTTATGGCTGCTAACATGGCTGCAAACTTTCATTAGAGCCACCTGGAACAGACAATTGAACAAAGACATTTGGTGTAAGTGTCTTGGCATGAGCAGGTATTACACTGCATGTGTATGCATTGCCCTTTCATGCCTGATGAATATCCCTCCCATCAAGACCCCTATCATCAAGAAAGACATCTGACCCCTTGGAGAGCTCCAAGTGCTGCACCTGCCATACATCTGGCCCCCATGGAGAGCACCAAGTACTGTGGCAATTATCGATTGGTAGCAATTGGTTGGTAGCAATGGGTTGGTGGCAGTTTCTTGGTGGCAATTGGTTGGCGGCAAGGGGGAGGGGGGAGGAGGAGGAAGGAGGAGGAAAGGAGGAGCGAATACAACACTAAAAACAAAAACCCCACACGTCAATGTGGGGAACAAGAGAAGTCAAACAGCCTATCTGGGTAGCTTCCAAACAGCTTCGATCAGATCCTACAAACAAATGACTTCTCGTGATTCTGGTGCGCATGTCCTCGGGGAAGTCCAAGGGAGCAGCTTAAAAGATAGGTTCTTCTTCGAGAAACTTGCCAAAAAGAGGAGAAACAAGAGGCCCTGACGCTACCTGAGGCTTTAGAAATCCCCTGTCGAAATGTTTACTCTGGATTCAATGAGTTCACTAGCCTTGCCCTGGCACCAGCAGGCCGTACGTCACGTACCTGGCCATAAGCCAGCTGTCAGGCAGCTGGTGGCTGATATGACCGGCTCGCGACTCCAGTGTGCTGAGACTAGCCCCGGTTGGGTAATGCCTCCAACCTACAAGCAATGGCCTCCAACGTAATAGCACTGGCCTCCAACCTACAAGCAATCACAAAACCTTAAAGGCAAAAAGCACTCACCTAGCCATATGTCATCTTGCTTCACGAACACCTGTCCCTTGCTTGGACCCTTGTACCAACTCTGCGGCAAAATGGCCTGAGGTGGAAAGGCATGTTCCAGCACGGCGAGAGCCTTGACTAAAGCAACTTCAATCGATAAAATCGGGACGATTGTCCATGTTGACGTCATTGTCCTGGACCAAAAACTGACTCATCTTTGGAGTTTGCGGAGCCACCAAAAAGCATCACGACATATCAAGATATCTCTATTTGGTAGTGGAAGCCTCATCTAAACCTCCAGAGTGTTTTGTGAAAATGGCTTGGTCGCTGCTTCCCTCACTAGTTTGTGGTGTGCTGTCTGAGACAATGGCTTCGCGTACCAGGACCTGAAACAAGAACCGAAGACATAGAACATGGCCGTGATGGAGCTCTTAATGAATTCTCAAACTGACCACAATCCCTTTCACCCTCCTCCATCCACGGTGTCCAACATCAAACTCATCACAAGTATGAAATTTTCTAAATAGGAGCTTCCCTGCTAGTAACAAGGGCATTACTACTAGTAACAAGAAGCTGCAGCTACTAGTAGCAAGGTGCATCGCTACTAGTAGCAAGGACGCCACTAGTAGCTAAGTGCCTTACTATATACTAGTTGTACACCAGCAGCTGCCCGGGCCTCTGCCTCAGCTGTGCGGCCAGTGCCCTGGAAGGCCGCAGCCAAGTTTTCTTTCTGCAAGGCTTCATCCAGGCCTCAGAAACTGCTAGGAACAAGGGCATCGCTACTAGGAGCAAAGGGCATCGCTACTAGGAGCAAGGATTCTACTAGGGGCTCCTGGCCTTACTACTAGTAACAAAACCCATCAAAAACCTACTAGTAACAAGGTGCATCGCTACAAGTAGCAAGGACGCTACTAGTAAGTAGCAAGCGTATTCCTACTAATACAAGAGTTGCCAGAGTTGCCGTTGTTTTTCGGGGTTGCCACGGAAGTTGTTCCAAGACAGCTGGGAAGCGACACATTCAGAAGTCGGAAGTATTCACATGTGGCAGCAAGGCTTTTCCTGGTTTCACTCTGGCGGACGAGGTAAATAGCTGCAGCGCCAGTCCTTCCCTGGTGCTTCTGATAGTGATGAAGGAAGCCTGCAACTGGCCGGTATGCATGTGCAGTGCAGTGCAAGATCATGCCTGGTTCAGTCGTGCATATGGGAAGCTGGAACATGTCCACGAAAGCGACGCTCAAAAGTGAAGGGCTTTCTAAAGGGGAAACCGTGGAGTCCATCAAACTCAAACATTGAATCAATCCAACCCCTCAGAAATGCACTTGAAAGGTGACAAGCTGCAAAAGCGGGGGGTCCTTTCATTGAACTGTTCTCCCACTTGAGTACTCAAGTCACCTCAGTACGCTGGCCTTTGCACCCACGCGTTGAGTCTGTTGCAGAGCGCTTGAAAGGACTCCTGGGGAATTCCGTGGCGTGGGACCGTGAAGGCAGACAGCCGGTCACATCATGTCCTGAGGAATCACTACTTGGGTCAGCTCTGGCAAGGCAGCACAGCGGCATGGCCGGAACAGCACCTGCCAGAGTCCAAGACCACCAAACCACGGTAGTTTAGCCAGTCAGCTGGTGCTTGGAGAATCAGCGTCATCTAAAGTCTCTCAGCGATCCGCTTTGTTGAGCTATTTGAGTAGAGCCGTCGAGCCGTGACATGCCTTTGAGGCCAGCTGGACATTGTGCAAATCCCCAGCATCACTTCCACCTCCCCACGGAGAGAAGATTCCACTTGCCAGCTGCTCGACTTTCCGTTTCTGATTGACAGTGCTTGAAAAGTAGGTTCAAGTTCAAATGACTCCAAGTTCTTGATTGCTGTCCACACGATTGATCGACTCTCGTGGTTTAAAGCAATGACATCAACATAATGTATCGTCATACTGCATCCGGTGACTTCCAATTATTTGCTAGAAGGTTGGAGGCCATCACTGGTGGGTTGGAGGCCATCGCTAGTAGGTATTCCATCCTACCGGATGAGCTAGAGCTCCGGTGGCTCACCTAGCAGCAAAAGCTCCGGTAGCACCAAGCGCAACTCCAACGCCTGAAAGGAGAACCAAGGAGGAGATGTCTGTGATATGTTGTAGGTGACATTTTTATGTACAAAGTTGAGGAGCCTGGTGGGATGTATAAATGTTGGTTGCGCATGTCCATGTTCTGCAAATCTGTCTACCGTCCCCAAATCCACTGACTTACGATTGACCCACAAACCTCTGAGTCATGCCTCGGCCGCGACCTGACTGAGCAGAGAGGAGTCCAAAGACCTGGGATGAGTGGAATCTCAGAACAACCTTGGAATGAGCCTCTAGCCTTTGAAAGTTCTGGAAGTTCTGCCGGGTCTTAACATGTTTTGACTTTGTTGTGATCACTCTGAAGGATCAAAACCAAGCCCCTTCATCCACGCAATGTGCGTGCAAGCAGCGGATGGCTCGGCAGGACCACGAAGCGAGACTGGCCCTTGCAAATTGACGAGAGAACGGGATCCATTGTCAAAAAATTGCTTCCAGCTTTAAGGTTCAATGTACGTAAAGCTCCCTGCAAAGAACTGTCTTTTTCTTCTGCCCGCTCTCGATCCGACGTCCAAACTATGTCTGAGTAATGTATCTCCAAAACTACCCATGAGTTGTACGATGTATCAAAAAACATATTCCCGACTACAAATGTGCCAAAACCATGTCATTTGGTATCCTTTGTTAAATGTTAGCTGCTAGCTTCATGTGTGGCACCTCCTAAAGCTGGGCTATACAATGAGGCAATGCGTTCCTCACTTGATCTTGATGAACTTGAGGCCAACGAAGGCAATTGGCAGCGCAAGGATCTTGAGGCCAGCCTTTGAACAGAAGTCTGATCCACTCTGCAGGAAGCTTTTGGTCTCTTCCTCCTTTTTGCCCACAAACGCATCGAGCTCTGTTTTGCACTTCTCAAAGTCACCGCCATTCTGGCTGAGGCATGCGACTGCACTGGACATCTCTGGGCTGTAAGCTTGAACTGGCCCTGAAGGGAAACCAGGCAGGCTGCCCACACACTCCTTGTGCGAGAGGCCGCGACCAATGCATTGCAGGTAGGCACTGTTGAAAAAGCTAGGGTCGAAGCTCATCCTTTACCTCACAGCCGGGCTGGCAGACCTACGGCAGGTATGCTTCTGCTTTCTCGAAGCTTGACCGGCTTGAGCCAGGAATTGGTCAGAGAACCAAGTACAGTAGCTTTTCAGAAATGGCATTGGTCCTTCTGCCTACATAAGACTCTCTTCATCTAAGCTCTCTCTCTCTCTCTCTCTTCTCGCCTTCAGAATTGACACATGATGACCCATGCAAGATGCATCAATGTGCCTCACTTACACGCAAGGTCAGCAAATGAGCCAGCACAGACGCCTCCTGTGTACCGTATCCAAGAGTGGAAAGAAGTTATGCATGCCTTTCAAGTGTGCAAGGTGTCCATTGGTTTTCTACGATAGTAATGTGGAGCAGGCAGTAACACACAGACAAATTTACTGTAACTTGACCCGCTGCCTCAAAAACTTCTTGGTACACAGCATGACAATTTTTTGCATAAGCATGGCAAGTGATTCCACTGATCGTTAAAGAAGTACACCATCCGTTCAGATACCACTCACATCCAACACACTGAATTAAGCACTGCATTGCTGCATAGCATAAAAAGTATACAAGTTCCGTGCGTGGATATACGTGCTAAGTTTTTTGGTGTTTGGTGTAACCGCTCTTGTAAAGAAAGCACTCGAATGACTCCCAGCTCCTCTGTGTAGTCCGCCAATGCATCATGTGGTGTGAGGGGCATTGAAGCACCTCAAATAGAAACAAACAAGGAGCAATGTTCGCTACTAGGAGCAAAGGGCATCGCTACTAGGAACAAGGACGCTACTAGGGGCTCCTGGCATTACTACTAGGAGCAAGGACGCTACTAGGAGCCTTTTTTCCAGCTGAACAAACCTCTGCACGGGCTGCTTACGTGGGATCATCCAAAGCACGGTGTTTGTAGAGCAGGACACCCGCACTGCGGCACGTGTGGCCCCAGCCACAAAAGTTACGCTGTCGCGCTTTTCTCGTGGTCCTACAAAGTCCAAGTGATGCTTTGGGTGTTTCTGCTTTGATTCTGATGACATTTCGGCTCTATTGAATCTAAGGAAATCGAAATCTAAATCTAAGTAGGATCTCCAAAAACTTGCTATCAAACTGTCCAATGGACTGAATAAAGTGTCTCTCAAATAAGGAGGCAATTTGCTCCTGCGCGGAGCATCTGCCTCCCCAACCACTGCACCACAGCTGCAATGCAGGAGACCCTCACTTGACGGTACCAAACCAGGAGAAAGATCCCCTGCGAGCAACATTGCATCAAGTGAAGTGGACAAATTGTCTATCTTGGAATGAAACAAGAATGGGACCACAAACAAACAAAGACAAAGACAAAAAAGAAAAAAACACCAAACATGTCTTACTAGCTTACAATAATCTTGAAGCCTTGCCCATCGGTGAGGCTATTGAGTGCATGTGCAAGAACAATGCAGAGAGTCATATATGTCTGCCTGTCAGCATGCGCAATGTACTGTTCCGCTCCTCTGGCGGCCAGAAAGCTTTGTGCAGACACAAAAAGGCGTCCCGGCTCTGCCCGAAGGTGACCTGCCGGGTTGCAATGTTGAGAACAGCTGCTGGTGTGTTTAAACAGATTAACGGACTTGACACTGATATGGCCTTGGCCCATGGGCATGCACTCCTCGCAAGCCACTACCTCATATTGCCGGGACATCACTCTCTCGCCATGGAGATATGCTGTGATAATTCTGTGATATACTGGTTCTGTTCACGATTTCGCTGCTCAAGTCTTTGTCAGGTTGTTCTTACTTTGTACCCATTGCGCATTCATCTCTTTGGAGGTCTCACCGTTTGTGACTTGTCACAAACCCGAGCTTGCCTCCGCACATGCTTGCCAGAGGTCAGTAGGCAAATGCAATGCTTGCAGGGGGCCCTGTAGGAAAGAAAGCACAAGGGAAACTACAGCAAACTTACATTCTGAGAATCATACCTCATGCGGAACAGTCAGGTGAACATTGCAGTCTCATCTTTCTCGGATAGAGGGCACACTTTATGTGTGTGTGTGTGTCCTTAAAGTGTTGAACCCGAATTCCCAAGTACTTGCACTCAACAAAAATACATCTAGAAAGACGATCCTTTATGTGACCGTAGGACGGGGAAATATGCGGTGCTTCTTCAATCTATCTCATCCATTCGTTCATTTGTCCCTTCATGTGTTCTTTCAGGTTCCACTGCGATATGAGAGGAAGAGCAGCTGTTGCTACGAGTACTACCACTACCACCTCTTGGCTTCTATCCAGACAGCGCTCACGCTTCCACGTGCTGGTCCTCATCGGCCGAGCGCTCCCGCAAGAAGGGTGCCAAACAGGAGCGGCAGCACAGCTCAACCTCCGGGCAAAAGCGACCGCGATATGGAAATGTTATTTCCTAATCTGACACATCAGGAAAAGTGAATACGTGCCGGACTCTCGAGCTAGTTCTTCTTTGTGTGAATAAGTCATGTTGGTAGCACTTGGACTTCCAGCCCACAAAGACGAAGGGAAACACTCCTTAAGGAACTTGGGTATCGAAAAACAAGCACCTCCAATTCGTCCAGGTCTGGTCCTGCAAACGAACAGGTTCAGCCGTCGTGGTCAAGTTATATAGTTCCAAAGGCAGGCG